TCAGCTTTTCAATGAAATTATTAAAATTACAAAAAAAAGTCAACATAACCTCAAAAAAATATAAAACATGTTATATCTTCAAAAGGGTGTCTCGAATCTTTTTTTTTATTATCTAAAACGAAAGAGGAGGTTTTTTTACGTTGGTATAGTGATTTTCAGAGTGTCCACTATTATATTATTCGAGAAATCTAACGTCAAAGTCTATGCTCTCGTGCCGCCGCGACGGACGGCCTGGCCGGTGGGGCGCGGTGCGGCGCTGCATGCGTGCTATATATAGCAATTTGTGACCCACCGAACCAAGAAGTCTGCTTCTTAAGCCTTAAATTATTAGTTGATGTTAATACAGTATTATTTTTTACAATAATTATTTAGACATATTAATAATAGTGTTGATATCAGGCGCGGTTCTCCTCTTCTGAGTTCATTTACAGCAGCAAAATTTAATAACTCTATTAATCGTGATAAAGGTTACGGCATCAAATAATTTTGAGATTTGTTTGCTTAAATAATGTATTTTGTGAATTTGCTATTCTTTGTGGAGTTTATTGAATTTTGAAAAAATTTGGTAAGTACAACTAAAGGTTCAGAAGTTGTCTTTTTAATAAAAAGTAACTTATTCAATTTTTAGGTTAGCTTGTTAGTTTACATTATAAACTATTAGAATGGATACAGTTTTCAAGTTACAGTGCATTAATCATTTAAATTTCAGCAAACACACAAAACAGTTGGTTAAATTTCCACCAACTAAAAGAGCTGAATATTCAGCAATTCCAGAATCAGCAAGAATCTGTACTGGTTGTAAATCTCAAATGTATAAACGTAAATTAACAGATGATGTTGTTCCCTCCGTTAATGATAATGACNTATATATATAAAAACACACATACTCTTCCTCGATGAAGCAACACTTGGAATAGTGCAATAGGCGCGGTAATTACAAATATTTTATAATACACAATAGCACAGGTAGACACTTACATATTAGGAACAGTATCGCAATTTTACAGTATGTGTACACACGCTTCCACATCTCTCATTGTTTCTTTGGCTTTTCTTCGGCGCTATGTCTTCTCTCTAATTTCTCACACATGAAATAAAGTAGCAGACTAGACCCAGATCTCGATTAGTCTTATAATAGTAATTTATGATTTGTCCCATTTGAGAACCGTTTCGGTGCCCACGGCTGGGAAAGAGAAAAATAACTTCGTCATACGTAGTATTATTTTCTTTACATGCAAAATTAGTTCTATGAAAGAATTGTAAATAAAATAGCAAATACTGCACATTCACCTTATGATCAGGGCATGGTATACTATTTTTTTTTTTTTTTTACGGAAAAAATTAATTACGTATGTGTTCCTACATAAATGTACTTCAATTTGTGTGAGTAAATACATTTGAGGTAAGAATTTTATAATTTTTGTAACTTTTTATGCTTCATGGATGTGCAGAAAAATTATCAATAAGAAAATGGTAACTACGGGTACAGTTAAAGGATTTAAAAATAACATTTTACTCATATTTTATTTTGAATACCACTGCCTGGTGTTTATAAATCTCTTGGGTTACATAGAAACATAAGTTTTGGAAAACACATAACTTGTATTAAAATAAAATTTGTTATTATTTGAGATTTAAACAAAGTAGCAATAAAATATGCAATTAAGAAGTAAAACATAATAACTCTCATTTCATATGCAACAATGCTAGTCTGCTATGATTAAAGAACAGAGCTTCATCGCACTGGATGAAAATGTGCATAGATTTTTGATTCTTTGAACTTCATGGTTGTCCATAACGTTTAGTAGGCTATTAGTAAAAAGCAATCATTTCCCCATATTTTTGTACATTGGGCATGATATGGTGTAGCGTTGTGGCCGAGCTGAGATTACAGAGTGTGCATGGATCAGTTTCCGTTAATTTTGTGAAGAACACTGTTTACTGTGATGAAAATGTTCCATCTACCTGCCAGCTGACAGCGGCGAAGAGTCTTGTAAATGGCAGCGAAGTCTGCATATCTAAGTTATTCTCCTGAGATAACTGACAGATCTTTTACGTGGCGATAAAATACAGAATAGGTAAAATTTTAAGCACGTTTGATGTCAGCTTCAAGACAGACTCTTATTAGTTTGCTCATGATTGTTGAGAGCCATGGTATGGAGCATATTGATATAAACCAGTTCAGTTTGGATTTGTTGTCAGATTTTATATCCGATACTACTAGTCCCTGTAGTAACATGCTGGGGTAACGTGCGGTATCCATCTGTACGACTTTACACCAGTAATTCAGCGTTTTTAAGATTATCTCGTTCGACAGCTTCGAACTGCCTGTTTCCAGCCTTAACAAGTACCCAAGAGTACTCATGGGAAGTCGAAAGTATCTTTTCAAGAAGATCGTTTAGATTTGTTCGAGTTCTTCTGCGTAGACTAGAGCCCAAATTCCTGCTCTATACATTACTGTAGAAGTAATGACTGAAGAAAATAGTTTCTTAGCTGTGTTGAGCCTTTGGCTACGGCTTAAGCAGAGTATTTTTTATATGACGCTCAAAGCTGATTTACTTTTAGCTATTGCTTTGCTGCAGT